TATCGGCAATGATTACACAAAGCATGGTGTAACCTCGTAGTGGAGATGAGACCTGATGGTTCCTGATGGGATATGGCTGCTAAGTCTCTCAGGACCGAGGTGAAGTATTAATGGTTTGAGTCCTGATTATGGATTCAGTTAGCCTAGTATCTTCTGTGGTGATGATGGTATGAGGGAATTGGACCAGAAACAGAGGATCCTTACAGCTCTGGCTTTGGCTCAGGCAGGATTTGAAGTGAAGTCTTGTTTGAGTCTGTATCAAGGACATGGTTTCCTCCAAGACCTCCAGGACTGTGGTTTGCTGTACAGTCTTCCCTTTACTTTCTCTTCTGTGGTTTTATTTCAAAGCAGTAACTGCTCTCATGCAATTTAGCAAGAATGAGACCAAATATTTAGCCCTTGCTGTAACATTTGTGACACTTCAGAGTCACTAGATTTCTTTCTTGTCTTAATGTGGGATAACTGATCCCACTGTTCAGCAATAATGTACTGAAGGATTTACAACCAGTTGAATGTGTATAATAAACTGCAAGTGATGTGTAGCAATCACCTACTCTGCAAAGACATGGATGTTGGTGTGAAACCTGCAGCCACACAATGAAAAACAAGGACTGACTAGTACTACATCTCCCAGACACTGTGAGGGAAAGAAAAGGTTACTCTCTGAATGAATTCTGAGTTATAGTGAGGAAGAGCATTAGGGAAATAAACACAGCTCAGCACTATGTTTAGCAGCTGACATGATACAAAGCTTAAAGTCCAGTCAGACATCTCACACTGTGCATCAACCCACATGGCATCTCTTCAGCCAGCACTGAGCAGCAGTGAGAAATCTGCATGAACAGCTGAGGACAGAGGGCCCGAGGCAGGAGAAATCCTCTTTGCTTGTGCAGTTGCACTGCAGTCTCTCTGCTGCTCCTCTCAGCTCAAGAAACCATCAGTCACAGACCAGCAGAGTGGCTTCCGTGGGACATGCAGCAGCTGGGCTGATCCCTGTGGTGTGGAGTCGGAAGTTGCTTGAGGTTGTGTCCATACAGGAATTATTAACTCATGTTTAAGGTCCCTATGCTAGAGAGAGGTTTGGTCTTCTCCAGCTGCTTGTGCCAGCAGTCAGGCTGCAGCTGAAGAGCGAGGAGTGCTGTGGTAGTGAGCTGAGGACCCAAGGGACTCTTTTGGACAGCACAGAGGGTTCATAACACCTGGCCCCTCTTTGCTTCAGGGAGGCAAACCTGAGGAGTGTCTGTAGCTTGAGCACTTCTCACTAATAAATCTCACTACCAAGCCTATAATCCACATTCTTCCGGTAACAACTGCTTTACATTTTAGGAGAAGAAACTGCATTTACCACCTGTATCATAGCACAGAGCATCACTTGATCACCATGGGGGAGCATAAATGAAGTTTATTTCACTACTCTCTTTATTCAGCTTTATTTTCTCCACCTCTCACCACAGCTGGGATCTCTTCTCTGCTATAACAGCTGACAAGACACCCACATGCTTCGCGCATGAGGCGGAGGATTTCCACTGTGGGGCAGGTGGGTCCTCCAAAAACATAGATGAATGGCATAAAAAACCCACCCACCAGCACTGCTTTAACAGCCTGAGGCTTTGCCAAGGCTGGGGTGCCCCAGCAATAACACCCTGAGCTGCAACATAGTAGGGTGGGTGATCCCCTGCACTCAGCTTGGACTCTCACCAGCACAATGGCCAGGGAAAGGGACTGCTCCCAGGGTAAGTCACAGCTGTGGCAGATCAAGGTGCCATAGCATGACAGCAACTGGATTATCTAGTCTGTAGCAGGGTGTGACTGGGAATGCATTTTACTGTGTTAAATAATTTGATACTAGCAAAAAAAAATATGTCCTGCAGAGTGTTAAGATGACTCAAACGCATGAAAGAAAATTACACTCTCCTCGTTCGCCCAAGGGTTTGTAACACATTAAAGGTGCTTTTCCCTTCTGAAATGCTGCAGGGATGTTTTAAGCCCTGTTTAAAACAATTTTTCTTTGCTCTGTTAGTCACAGTCTCATCTCCTGAAGAGGTCAGTGTCTGCTGCAGGGCTGCAGCAGGCAAAGGGAGGGTAGAGGGGAGGGCAACCTGTGAGGAGGCAGCAGAGTTGAGTGAGATTACTTCACATCCTCTCTCATGCCCTGACAACTTGGAGACAGGGAGACGAAC